TTAGACTTTATAGTGAAGTTTTTGCCTGCCAGACTATTTCACCAGCCCTTCTTATTTAAAACAATCTTTTATTAAAGCTTTTAAACTTTTTTTTAAAATCTTTATTAGCCAGGAGTGGTGGTAATCCTAGCACTTGTAAGGCTGAAGCAGAACTACTGGTAGTCCAAGGCCAATCTGGACTATATTTGGAGACACTTTCTCAAAAACACCAAAAAAAAAAAAAAAAAAAAAAAAAACCCTAAAATAAAAACTGATGACTGGAGAGATGGTTCCGTGGTTAAGAATAAGTACTGCAGCCAGGCAGCGGTGGCACATGACTTTAATCCCAGCACTTGGGAGGCAGAGGCAGGTAGATCTCTGAGTTCAAAGCCAGCCTGGTCTACAGAGTGAGTTCCAGGACAGCCAGGACTACACAGAGAAACCCTGTCTCTAAAAAAATAAATAAATAAATAAATACTGTTCTCGTAAAGGATGCAGATCCAGTACCTGAACTCATGTCTGGCAGTTTGCAACCCCTGTAACTCTAGCTCCAAAAAATCTGACTCCTTCTCTGGCCCATTTGGCAGCACATGCACGAACACACACACACACACAATTTTTTTTTTATTTAAAATAAAATTTAATAATAAACCAGATATAGTAGCAAAGGCCTATAATCACACCATGTAAGAGGCTAAGGCAGAGGGCTGCCACATGTTCAAGGGTACCCTGGTGTTCAATAAAACCCTATCTCAAATAATACTAGTATTTATTGAGGTGATAACCAGGATATTATCATAAGTTCAACATCTTTGTCTTTTATCTCCTAGTATTAGCTGTTTTTACTGCTAAAATAGTTCATGAATTTATGTACTACATTTGTTTGTGTACATGGATTTGTGTTCATGAATACATTTGTGTTGATGGCTATTTGAATTATTCTAATTAACTATTGGAACCAAGGCTTCTATAAATATTGATGAACATTATTATTTTTTTTAAAGAATTATTTATTTATTTCATGTGTATGAGTACACCATTGCTCTCTTCAGACACACCAGAAGAGGGCATCAGACCTCATTACAGATGGTTGTGAGCCACCATGTGGTTGCTGGGAATTGAACTCAGGACCTCTGAAAGAGCAGTCAATGCTGTTAACCACTGAGCCATCTCTCCAGCTCCCAATAAACATTATTTTTAAAGTGTCTTACTATGTTTTTTATGCATATGTGTGCCCATTCCCCAACCCCTACTACCATAGTTTACATGTGGAAGTTATGAGACAACTTTGAGGAATTGGTTCTTGTCTCTTACCATCTGCATCCAGGGAACTGAACTAAGGTAGTCAGGCTTGGTTGGCAAGTAAGTACGTTTCCTATTGTGTTCTAAAGAGAAAGAGACAGAGGAGACAGGAGAGGAGGAGAAGGGAAGGGAAAAGGGAGAAAGGAGAAAAAAAGAAGAGAAGGGAAGGAAAGAAAAGGGCTCTTGGCCAACAATTTGTCAGCCAGTGTTTTGACTTTTATTTTTCTGGCCTCCCTTTTTCTGACTCCCAAGTCAGCTGTTGATCTTACTTCAGCTCTGAGAAATCATTTTTCTTAGGCCACCTTCCAAGATTGCCTCTTAATATCCCTGGCATTAGATATGATTCTCTACATTTGTCCTATGTGGGGTCCATTGAGCTCAAAATGTGTAGACAAGTGTTTTTCGTGACCCTGCCTTTTTTTTTTTTAATGTTTTTTCTCTGCTCTTCTTCCTGTCATCTCTCAGTCTCTGTATGTTTACAAATGTGTCAGTCCTGAGGGCATCCCACATTTCTCTGAGGCTCTCTTCAGGCTACATAATCTCATTTTGGGTTGTAAAACGGGACTTCACGTAGCCTGGGATGGCCTCAGATTCACTTAGTAACAGCAGATAAACACTTGATTCTCCTGCCGGGCAGCTGAGATTGCAGGCGTTCATCTCAGTGCCCAGCTCAGACTGTAGAGCCTTTATTAATCTCAAAGACTGCTGATTCTTTGGCTAGCTCAAATTTGTTGTTAACGTCTTAGGTAAAGTTTTATTTTGATGTTTTTCTCTCAAATTCCAGAATTTCTATGTGGTTATGTAGCTTCTGATATTTCTTTTCAATTTTTTTCTAATTTTTAATTATGAGTCTCTCTCTCTCTCTCTCTCTCTCTCTCTCTCTCTCTCTCTCTCTCTCTCTCTCTCTCTCTGTGTGTGTGTGTGTGTGTGTGTGTGTGTGTGTGTGTGTGTGTGTGTGTGTGTAGAAATATTTGGCCTGCAAAGGCCAAAAGAGTATGTAAGACCCCAGTATAGCTGTCCTTATAAGCAGTCATGAGCCACGTCACGTGAGTGCTAGGACACTAACTTGAATCCCTCTACAAGAGCAGTATGTGTTCTCAACTGCTAAAGCACCTACCCGCCCCCATCATTAGGTCACTTGGTTAGCATAAGCCACTTGTTAATCAAAGGTTTTGCCAAAGCACCTGTATTACTTTTCTTATTGCTGTGACCAAATACATGACAAGAAGTAATTTAGAAGGGGAGAATTTATTTTGACTTTATTTTGGTTCAAATTTTGACAAGATCCTGTCCATCTTAGCAGGAAAGGCATAGCATTGGGAGTGGGAGGCAGCTGCTCACATTTGCCCACCGTCAGGAAGCAGAGAGATGACTGCTAATATTCAAAAGGCTTTCCTTAGTCTCCTTTTACTCAGTCTTTTACACATCCAATGTCTAAGATGGATCTTTCCTTCTCAGCTAACCCTCCTAGACATGGCCTTTACAGACATACCAAAGGGCATGCCCTCTGGGCAATTCCATTTTATTATTACATTTTTATTTACATAGTTAGTGTGTGAGGTATGCACAAGCATGTGCCACAGCATATACCTGGAGGTCAGAGGACAACTCCTAGGAGTCAGTTTTCTTCCACAATTCAGGTCCAAGTTCAAACTCAGATTGTTGAGCTTGGCAACAAGCACCTTGACCCACTGAGCCATCTCAATAGTCTCCCCTTATTTTTAGCATGTATGTGCCATTGCACACATGTGGAAGTCAGGGGATACATATGTGGAAGTCAGGGGACAGCTTTCAGGAATCAGTTCTCTCCTTCCACATAGATTGCAGGGATCAGCCCAGGTCATCAGGCTCTCCCAGTAAGCACTTGTTACCTGCTGTCTCTTCCAGCCATCCATCTCCTGAGAATTGAAATCAAGGTAACAATGAAAAGCAAGTAGCATAACCCCTTTAGCCAGTTTCATTTTTGTTTTTGTCTTTTTTTACGTTTTATTTATTTTATGTTTATGAGTATTTGCCTGCATGTATCTTAGGGTACTGCTTGTGTACACAGCCTGTGGAAGCCAAAGGAGGGTATTAGATCCCCTGGATCTGGAGTTATAGACAGCTGTGAACTACCATTGTAGATGCTAGGTACCAAACCTAGGTCCTCTGTAAGAGCAACAATTTCTCTCAACTCTTGAACCTTCAGCCCCACTTTTTGGAGTTTTATTATTGTTGTGATTGCTTTTTACCAGGACAGGGTCTCTCGTAGCCCAGACTTATCTTGAAACTCATTGTGTAATTAAATATGACCTTGAAGTCTTCGTGTTCCTCCTTTGTCTCTGAGTGCTGGGCTTGCTAGAATACCTGACCCAATTAAATATTGTTGTTTCTTTGATGCTGGGGATTTGCCTTAAGGCCTACACATGCTAGGCAGAGTCTAAACTACTGAGCTGTACTTAGATTTTTTTTATCCTTTTACTATTGAATATATATGATGTGAGATCTGGACACAGCTATTATAATTTACCCCATTTTTTTTTTTACAGAAGCAAAACATACAAGAATAAAGGCTAGTAACTTGGAGATTCCTTTTCTGTTTTTTCTGAGGAAGACAACAGTCTTGATTATGAACACAGCTTGCCCTTCCAGTGCAGAACTTCTCCTCAAAGTTAAAGTGGGACACTTAGGGTCCCAGTGTTGCCAGCCTACAACACCTGGAATAGCTTCTGTCCATCAAGCACAGGAAGCAAACCTCAGTCTTCTCAGCTTTACCAGGTCAAATAGCGATTCTATAATATAGAAAACCAGAATTCCAAGAGAACCTAGAAGTCTACCAGATTTGCGTATTTTAAGCCTAATTTATTAGAGTCACAGCCGTTTATTATCTGGGCATGGGAATGCACCTGAGGCAGAAGGATCACCAGCTTGAGGCCAGACATAAGGAAATATAAGCCACTTTGTATATGCTCAGACGCTGTCTTGGGAAGGAAAGCAGATGGGTGTGGGGTAGATGGTTGCTTACTGTTACATGTTCAAAGGTTATGCTTAAATTCCTGGTGCCTGTGACATCCTTCAATCAAGCTCTACATCCTGTTCTGATTGCACCTGAGTTTGTGCATCTAGTATAAGCCCACACCCTTGCGCTCACCAGAGTTGACCATGATCCCAGCAAGGTTTTGATGTGTTTTCTCTGGTTACTGTTGAATTCTAGGAGGCTTTGTCAGTTGATGTTTGCTTTCAGAATCCTGGCAATTGTTTTTTACCAACATTACCATGGTTTTCAGCAACAACTTTAAACTTAAAATTCTCTACACTCAACCAAATGGAACTCTTCCTGCAGACTTTTAGCCCATTTCTCCTAGTGTGCTATCTTCTTGCTCTATGGGTAGTGGAATGGCAGGCAATCTCTTGTCCTCTTTCTTATCATTTCTTTTCTAGTCTAGAACCTCTTCAAAGAAGCTAGAATGGGGCAGCCTAAGCCATATTGTCAGGTCACCACTTCAGGGTAGGCCTTCCACCCAATGAGTAGAAGAAAGGACCTTAGACCTCTCAATTATATTTTATTTTATTTTATTTTTGTTTATTTTTTATTTTTTTTATTTTATTTTTTATTTTTTGGTTTTTTGAGACAGGGTTTCTCTGTGGAGCCCTGGCTGTCCTGGAACTCACTCTGTAGACCAGGTTGGCCTCAAGCTCAGAAATCCGCCTGCCTCTGCCTCCCAAGTTATATTTTATTTTTAAATATGAAACATTTCATGAATTTCTATGTCACCCTTGTGCAGGGGCCATGTTAATCTGTATATCATTTCAATTTTAGTATTTGTGCTGCTGAAGAAAGCACAGTGTTTTTAGTTTTACCAACCCAACTAGAACACATGTGATATGGAAAAGAAGTCATCCTAGAAAAACTACTATCTTGAACAGAATGGCTAAAACATTAAAAACAAGGGCTGGAGAGAAAGAGAGCCCAGTCAGTAAACTACTTGTCTTGCAAGCATAAAAACATTAATTTGATCCTCAGAACCCGTGGGTGGGTGGCTGGGTGGATGGATGGATGGATGGGTGGATGGGTGGATGGATGGATGGATAGATGAATAATCTAGACCAAGTAATCTGCATTTTAATCCCAGTGAGGAGACTAGCTTGATGACCAGCCAGCCCAGCCTACCTGGTAATCTTCAGGCAGGTGAGAGACCCTGTCTGAGAAAAAGAGGTAAGGTAAGGTAGGGCTAGATGACCCTGAGGCTGTTCTCTGACATCCATGTCTCTGTCTCTCTGTCTCTCTGTCTCTCTCTCTCTCCTCCTCTCTCTTCCCCCCCAACCCCCACGCATGCACACATTCAAGAATGACTAACATCACAGAGAATTCATACATGAGTTGAAATAAGGGGTCAGAGAGATGGCTCAGTGGTGAAGAGTGCTTCCTGCTCTTCCAGAGGACCTGAGTTCAGTTCCCAGCATTCATGTCAGGTGGCTTACAAGAGCCTGTAACTCCAGCTCCAGGATATCCAACACCCTCTTCTGGTCTCTGTGCACACCTGTGTACATATATAACTACAAATAAATCAAAAAAATTAAAGAACAAAAATTAAAAATCAGAAGGCTGGCAAGATGCTTTTAGCAGATAAAGGTGCTTGCTACCAAACTTCACAACCTGATTTTGATCCCGAGAACCCACAAGGTGAAAGGAGAGGACCGGTCTGTTCTATCACTCATGTACTGTGACACACATGCTTCCATACATACTAAAATAATCAGTGTAAATATTCCATGAGCACTAGCATAATGGAAGCCCATAGTGATGTGTGTGTGTGTGTGTGTGTGTGTGTGTGTGTGTGTGTGTATGTATGTGTGCGTGCATCTGTGTATACATGTATAAGCACATGTGTATGTGTATATGTGTGTATGGTTTTGTGCATGTATGGTTTTATGTGTGCATGTGTGTATATGTGGTTGCATATGTGTGTACATGGTGCATTTGTGTATGTGTGATAATTTTGAAGATCATTTAATATAAAATCATTTAATGTATAATAGAGTCGCCGGGCAGTGGTGGCGCACGCCTTTAATCCTAGCACTTGGGAGGCAGAAACAGGTGGATTTCTGAGTTCAAGGCCAGCCTGGTCTACAGAGTGAGTTCCAGGACAGCCAGGGTGACACAGAGAAACCCTGTCTCGAAAATCCAAAAAATAAAAAAAATTTAAAAAAAAATAATAATAATAGAGTCAAAACTAACACAGAAAGCACAAAGTATGGATTAAAGAGTGAGTTGACATTGTTTCTCCGTGGATAGAGATTGTGCTTTTAAATTTGTAAACAAGGCGAACTAAAGAGATGGCTCAACAGTTAAAAGTGCTGGCTGTTCTTCCAGAGGTCCTGAGTTCAATTCCCAGCAACCACATGGTGGCTCACAACCATCTGTAATGGGATATGATGCCCTCTTCTGATATGTCTGAAGACAGCTACAGTGCATTCATATAAATAAAATAAATCTTTTTTTTTTTTTTTTGGTTTTTCGAGACAGGGTTTCTCTGTGTAACCCTGGCTGTCCTGGAACTCACTCTGTAGACCAGGCTAGCCTCGAACTCTTGAACTCAGAAATCTGCCTGCCTCTGCCTCCCAAGTGCTGGGATTAAAGACGTGCGCCACCACCGCTCAGCTAAATAAAATAAATCTTAAAAAACAAATTTAAACAAAGCTCAAATAACAAACTGCCTTTTTAAATTTTGTTTTCCACTGTCTGTTTCCCAACAGGTGAGACATGGAACCCCTTTAAATTACAGTACCAGCTGAGAAATGTACGAGAGCGAATTGCTAAGAACCTGGTAGAAAAGGGCATTCTAACCACAGAGAAGCAGAATTTCCTGCTGTTCGACATGACCACCCATCCAGTGACCAATACAACAGAGAAACAGCGACTAATGAAAAAGCTTCAAGACAGTGTGCTGGAACGGTGGGTGAATGACCCTCAGCGTATGGACAGGCGAACTCTGGCACTCCTGGTGCTGGCCCATTCCTCTGATGTGCTGGAGAATGTCTTCTCTTGTCTGACAGATGATAAGTATGATGTGGCAATGAATCGAACCAAGGACCTAGTAGAACTGGACCCTGAAGTGGAAGGAACAAAGCACAATGCCACAGAGATGATCTGGGCTGTGCTGGCAGCCTTCAACAAATCCTAAAGCCAGCAGCCGGGTGTCTCCTTTTCCCTGCTGGCTGGTGACTGTCAGAGAACCCCATCACTGAGATTGCTGTGATAAGATACTGTCATTGTTTCTCCTCTCTTTGAATCAGACTCCTGACTTGAGGGGGACAACCTCAGGGCCTTTCCATGGGCCATGACCTTCTAAGCAGACTCTATCTCCTCACTTCTACTCTGTCTGAATGAAAGGAGTGAACCCACACACATCTAATAAACATCTCCCATTTTGGGGGTTTAGTTTTAACCACTGTGCTTCTGGATAAACAGGGGTTCCTATGTGAGGATTAGAGTTTCCAGCAACAAAATGTGAAGGAAATGAAGAGTAAACCATATTTAACTTTTTCTCCCTTGTTCATGTTTTCTCAACCCTTGTCTCTTCACCTCTGTTAAACAGTGACGCTTCCTGAAATCACTGACTCTTTGAATGAGGGGCAGTGGAAATACGACTAATTTTTGAAGCAAATTGGTTCCTGAGATTATACCTCCTACCTGTGATTTTCTCGTCTTTATATAATGAAAACACTCCAAGTTTGATGACTGGAATCCCTTCATTCTAAAAGCAAAAATATATTCCACACTCCTTTTTAGCATTATCTTGCTCCCACATTCATTAAGAGTCTGAACTGAAAAAGCAATGTGCCGCAGTCACCTCCTTCATACAGCCAGTATTCGAACCTGTAGAGAAGGGAAGCAACGTGAGACTTCATATCTTTGAAACCAAGTGTCTGGATAAACACCTGTCATCCTAGCACTTAGGAGATAGTAGCAGCTAGATTAGTGAGTTCAGGGCTATCTTTGGCTATATGAGACCATCTCTCATTCAAAAATTAAAGACTCTTCATCCTTAGTATGTGACTGTCCTATTTGCTCTAGACTACTTTAAATATCTCTACTCTGATAAAATTAAGAGAATTGTAAGTTTCAAGTCCCAAATTATAGCATTGGGTCCAGACAATGTAGCCAAACTCCATATTTTCATAGCTCCTGTTTTTATTTCCTACATAAATTGATAAATTTTTCCTGTATTTAAGGGCTTTGGCAGTAATTCTGTGTATATTTAATGTATTGACACCCTCTAAATTGTGTCTTCTTTCAACACAGCCATCCTGGCTAAAATCCCTTAAAGTGTTTTTGCTTCAGTAGAGAGAGTGGAGAGATCCTATTTAGATGGGCAGTTGAGAGTCACCAGCAACAAATGCAAAGCCTAGGTTCAAGGGTTGTAAAGGGGCCAGCACTGTGTTATGCAGATTTCAAGCACTCTGTTGACCACTGGGGAGAGACAGGTAGGTGGTCACACAGCCACTACAGATGACCCGGACTAACACCAAATCCTTCTAATAGAAATCAATTAGTGTAACTTCGTCTGCTCCCCTGAACCTACCTAGGTCCATGAAAGTTTTCCAGCTCATTGTTATTGTTTTCATTTCATCTGACTCTTAGATGAGTAGAGATAGAAACTGTGGTTTGAGAAGCTAAGCAGAGCCTTAGTTTGGCTCTCTAGAAGGGCGGAAGCCAGCCCATGTATAACCTAGCAGCTCATCTTATCTTCCCATTGGAGCAATTCATAGTGAATTGAAACCATGTTTTTCTTTGACAGCTTCAGCTTGTTTGGGGGATAGAAGTTGCATTCTTTCTTGCAACTCTCAGTGTTTATTTTTATATGTCCAAAAAATGAGGATGTCTTCACTTCTAATCTGTGTAATGTTCACTGCCAGACACTCATTTAGTGTGTATTGCTTTCACGTTTCTGTATAATAAAGATCAATAATTGTGCCTTTGGTCTCTCTGTACATGGTTTTTATCTTATTGTAGTATATATTGACAGGGCACAGCAGTGCTAACCTAGGCACCAGCTTAAATCTCAGTAGAGTCTCCATTTCAAAATAAGTTAACCAGTAACAATATTACCATTGAATAGAATAAGGATGGCTTTTCCTGTGAATACCTTGCAGATGACACTTGACTTTATCTAAGAGATGAACCTAATAATGCCCTTGATGGCCAATGCTCCAGCCCTTAACCATTAGATAAAAAAATATATAACTTTTTTTTTTTCTTTTTTTTTTTTTTGGTTTTTTGAGACAGGATTCCTCTGTGTAGTCCTGGCTGTCCTGGAACTCACTCTGTAGACCAGGCTGGCCTCAAGCTCAGAAATCCGCCTGCCTCTGCCTCCCAAGTGCTGGGATTAAAGGCGTGCGATACCACCACCCCACTGTTATTTTCTTTTTAAAGACAGAGTCTAAGTTTCCCAGGCTGGCCTTGAATCTAAAATTCTGTTTCAGCCTCCTCCTGAGTTGCTGACATTATAGGCCTACCCCACTAGGTCCAGCTTCTCATATATTGTTAATTAGGTTTAGTCTTATATTTTCTTGTCTTCCTTAACTTCTCTTTTTCTCCCCCATTATACCCATACATATACATTCCCCTACCTCACCTACCCACTGCTGCCAGCAGTACTGGAGATTGAACTCAGGGCTTTATGCGTGCTAGACATGTGCTCTACCACTGAGCTACACATGCGTCTCTGCTTTGCTCTTAACTACCACATTTTAGGTTAATCCTAATTATCTCTTACCTAAAACTTGCAGTAGACTTGGCTTAGACAGCACGCCTTTGTGCATAAGTTTCTAAACATTTGT